AAGGGGAAGGGCTAAGGGGTAGAATTGGGATTGGGCCTAAGTCTTCAGCCTACACCGTTTTTGGTTAATATGTACAATGATGTATAATTATTATGCAATTGTGTAAGACGACTGAAATAATAAAAGCGTGATTATATTGTGACCAAGAACTGGCAATTTAGAGAAAAATAATATATTTGTTTTTTTTTCTGAAATTGATGATACCAAAACAAAAGGCAAAAGTCATTCAAATAATGGTCAGAAGTTTCCATAAATGGTTGTCAAAACAGAAGAAACTCTGTACATTTTTTAATTTGTGGGTGTTATTTAATTTTGGGGTACAATTTCCAGCCATCTAAAACTAATAGAATTATTAATTATTTGATAGACATAACTTTGTGGAAAACAAATAATACATGCTGTGCTAAAGGTTATCCTGTTTATGTGGTACTGTATGCATCACAAACTAAATAGGATCTAACACCATGAACCTCGCAAAATGAACCAAATCCAATTAGCTGGGCTTATTTTGCCCTTATTTTACTTGGAGGTGCACAAACAACTTTCATTTCTAGTCTTGTCAAACACAACTTTGGTTTTCTGGTCTATACTGACTCTTGGAAAAGCTTGCCTTTTCGAGAAGGCTGTGTGCTTTATTGATCACACACACACACACACACACACACACACACACACACACACACACACACACACACACTTTTTAACTTTCAAAAACAACCTAAAGTGTAACAGAAACCGATCAGTAACTTATGCGTCTTACTTTGACGGCCATGATTTGTCCACTGGGTTTGTGCACCATCTTGTTGACGGAGCCGTACGCTCCTCGGCCGATCTCGCCGAGATCCTTCAGGTCTTCGGCTGTGAAGTCCCAGTGCTGCTCCGGAGAGATCTTCAGCTTCCCAGACGACTCGATACTGTGTGTCCGCAGCCGCTCTCTGAAAACACACACACACATGCACGTGAAGACGATCATGGCTGAGGTTGGAAAGACAAAACTGAAGTCTTGACATTATCCACAGACGACAGTTCTGAGTTGACGGCCAAAACTCACAGGTTGATGATTAGGGCTGCAACAAATTATTATTATTTTTTTTTTAATCCATTAATCTGACATTTATTTAATCCAACGATTGACACATTTGGATTGCAAAAGAAAAACAACAACATGTAATTCCATTTCACTGGAGAAAGCAATGTTATGAATACCAGAAACAAGAGTTTTAAGTTAAAAACTGTTTACTGAGAGTAATCCACACCACTCCAGTCCATCAATTAATGTCTTGTGAAGCCAAAAGCTGTGTTTGTAAGAAACAAATCCATCAAGGCGTTTTTTAACTTCAAACTGTTGCTTCCAGCTAATATTTGAGTCTATAATCCATAATATTGCTTTCTCCAGTGGAAAAAGGTGTCTCATCTGAATCAGGAGAGAAATCTGCACAGAATTGATAAGCAAAAACAGTCAAAACCGGCTCTAAACAAATATGTGGGTGGATTTTGATGTGAGAGACAACAGGAGATGGACTTTATCCCCTGAGAGTTTTATGGATTATAGACTGGTATTTTAGCTGGAAGCAACAGTCTGAAGTTAAAAACGTCTTGATGGATTTGTTTCTTACAACCACACAGCTTTTCACTTCACAAGACATTAACTGATGGACTGTAGTGGTGTGGATTACTTGTGGATTATTGTGATGTTTTTATCAGCTGTTTGGACTCTCATTCTGACGGCACCCATTCACTGCAGAGGATCCATTGATGAGCAAGTCACATAACACTACATTTCTCCAAATCTGATCCAATAAACAATCTCATTTAACACTTTGGATGGACTGATGGGGAGTAAAATGTTCATTTTTGGGTGAAATGGCCATCAGATAGTCTGTACTCACATGTGTGGGTTCTGGAAAGGAAGTCCGGCAGTGTTCAGAGTGATTCTGGAAGTAGGTTTGATTGGAGGATTGGCAAAATTTAACTTCAGGGCTTTACGTTTACCTGACAAAGGAGGAAGAGACCTCCAGGTTAAACAACACAGTCAGGAAACAGCATTTTCACACACAAACACACAAACCAACACTCATATAGCATGAAGATAAAGTTGCAGGTGTATTTTATTCAGGTTGCTGTAGGATGAGATCTCGGTAACTAAGCCATGGAAGATGTGGGAGGGTCGTGTGAAGAGACCAAAGTTCACTAGAGACATGCACATCTGAGCACCAGGAGAGGAACCCAAGAGCCAGATTTCCTAAAGTACATCAGAACATGCTGAAGGTGTAAAACATCTTCATTAGAAAAAAATATAGAGGGTGACGATGGCTTTAGCAAATCTGGCAGCAGAGGACAGTGACTGCAGTCCGACATGCTCAAACCCTGCGTTTAACATCACCAAATCAGCTAATCTTTCCCCATCTACAGCCACTCAAGACAATAGAGCATTAAAAAGATCTGATCACATCCGGACACAAAACGGACGATCTGAAACGAAAACTAAAATCAAACTTACCTTCATCACACACAAAACCTAACACAACCCAAACACAAAATTATACATGAATCTGTAATGTGCAAACTGTACGGTCCATCTAGACTGCGAGAGGTGCACTTTTATAAGCACTAAAAATAGCCACCACAGAAATGAAGCCAATGCAACATGACAGAAACAGTGACGGATTTGTTTTACAGAAAACACAAAAACATTTTTTTTTTTCTTTTACTTTTATTAGTTAAAAACTGAAAATAAAGTTTTCGTAATTAAATTTGGGTAATTGAACTCTATCTGCTGTTCCGGGCATCTTGATATTTCACCTTAATACATTTTACATAATTTTACTCTAGAATCATTTTTATTTACAGTGAAAATGCATCAAAACACATTATCAAAGAAATTAAATGTCACGGTTTTGGTCACGGTTTCTTTCCACCAAAACTATTTAATCGGAAACATTAAAATAAAATAAAAAACACGAAAGAAAACGAAAACACAGAAACCACAAATAATATTACTAATATGTGACCCTGGACCACAAAACCAGTAATAAGGGTCAATTTTTGGAAATTGAGATTTTTACATCATTTGAAAGTTGAATAAATAAGCTTTCCATTGATGTATGATTTGTTAGGGTATGACAATATTTGGTCGAGATACAACTATTTGAAAATCTGGAATCTGAGGGTGCAAAAAAATCTAAATATTGAGAAAATCGCCTTTAAAGCTGTCCAAATGAAGTTCAATGCATATTACTAATCAAAATTAAGTTTTTATATATTTACGGTAGGAAATTTACAAAATATCTTCATGGAACATGATCTTTACTTAATATCCTAATGATTTTTGGCATTAACAAATTCGATAATTTTGACCCATACAATGAATTTTTGGCTATTGCTACACATATACCCCAGCGACTTAAGACTGGTTTTGTGCTCCAGGGTCACATATTGTCTTTTTTTGTTTTTTTTAATGGTTTTTTAAAATCCATAAAATAAAGAAAAATAATGTTAAACCAAATCTAACACTGATTATAACTAGTTTTGTAAGGAATAATATTGATCAGACTGCTGAATTAATTAACATTAATATAAATGTGGGTAATCTTTTTCATTAAATAACACTTTTTTTTCTTTTCTTATTTCAGTATCTTCTCCCTGTATTTAGGTCTGTAACCCTATTCAGCTTTCTATAGATATTAAAAATAAGTTCTGTGCAGGGAAAATTTAATTTGTTTGCCATTTTTTTCTGTTTCTTTTCTTTCGTTATAATAATAATAATAATTCACAAGGCAGTTGTGTGACTATTTCTGCTCTTCTCATAATAAACAGATGCACATTTCACCTCAATCCACAATTTCAAGGAATTATGAGACTTTACAGAGATATCAGTGTTTATTAAAACTATAATTCAATGCTTGTGTCTCCAAATAATTGCAAACTTGTGAATAAGTGAAAATTAAGTTATATGACAAAAGAGAAATTAAAACAACGTTAACATAAAACAAACAACACTTAAGCACCAAAAAGCCATTCAGATTCATGAAAGTAACTGGGAAATGAGTGCAAGCACATCTCTGAGAAATTAAGGACTATTTTCCCTCCACCACAAGAATGTGAGGATCCGAATACCAGAGGAACGGCATTTCTGAAATCTCACGGCATGTGCGTCCATGTCCCAACAAGCTGGTGTTTGCTCGAGATGCTCATGCCAAAAACATCCCAGCAGTGCTTCAACACTAAACAAAATGCAAACCGAAGAAACAGGGAAGACAGCTACAACACCCAAGGCAATGTTCACTGCACCGGTTAGTAGAAAGCCACCTAAACACCTCAGTAAACAACCACCAGAGCTTCCATTACTGTATGCGAACCATTGATCAATGTAGAAAGGACATGCGTGATCATTAAAGAGATCTTGATCAAGTGCAGGCTGATTTTGATTAAATGGACAATCAAAAGAAAGTCAGGACCAATCGACTGTCCAAGAGTGAATCTTTTTGCTCCAAAGTCAATGGAAGCTCACAGTCTAAGACTTGTGCCGATTTCTCACTAAAATCCTCTTTATGTTGTTGTTTGACACAGATATATGAACATTTAAGTTACCGAATGGAAATACTGACTACCAATATGTGTTTTTTAAAGGGGTCATATGTGACGTTGCTAAAAAGAACATTATTTGGTGTATTTGGTGTAATGAAATGTGTTTATGCGGTTTAAGGTTCAAAAAACACATTATTTTCTACATAATGTACATTATTGTTTCTCCTCTATGCCCCGCATTTCTGAAACGCGTCGATTTTTACAAAGCTCATCGGTCTGAAAAGCGAGGTGTGCTGTGATTGGCCAGCTATCCAGTGCGTTGTGATTGGCCGAATCCTCACTCTAGCCCCCGGCTTCTGCTCACTCTAGGCCGTCCGTGTGTGACGCTGTGTTTCATTGTGAAAGCGAAACTACTTTGTTTGGCCTTCCAAAAATGGACACGACTAGAAATCAGTGGTTAAGTTGCATTTACAACACTGTTCCAGAACAGTTCAACCCAAATATTCAGATGTGTGCAGCGCATTTTATGGAGGACTGTTTCCTGATCCTGGAAGAGTAGACTACAATGCCGGCTGTTCTGACTCACAGACTGTAAGTAAGTTTTTTATATTTAAAGAATTGATGATTCAAACACGAGTTTTTTGGGCAGTGTAGAGTAGCGCTTGTTGTTTGTCATTTCTCCGATCACAAATGCAGACATGGTTTTATGTTTACGCGGCGCGATGCAACGCAACGCGTAAAAAGACAGTACAAGTCATTATAATCCATAATTATGTCCCCACTGGATGCAACGAATGCCTCGTTTATAATGGGTTTTTATCTCATCGCTCCGGCCGGACAGGGCATCACAATATGGTGAGGGGCGTAACATTTCCGTCACATGCTTGAGGTTTTCGGCCAATCACAGCACACCTCGCTTTTCAGACCGATGAGCTTTGTAAAAATCGACGCGTTTCAGAAATGCGGGGCATAGAGGAGAAACAATAATGTACAGTATGTGGAAAATAATGTGTTTTTTTAACCTTAAACCGCATAAACACATTGCATTACACCAAATAATGTTCTTTTTAGCACCATCACATGACCCCTTTAAGTGTAGCTGATACACTGTTGTTGACTCTGAACAAACTAAAACATGTCTGTTAAATAATTACATATAACTTACATTTCAATAATTATTTAAATAGTTGTCACCATTTATCAAATATAATTTTTATTTAGTATATTAGGGTAATGAGATTTTCTTGCTTTACTATAAGATGGCTTTAGTTTGTATAGTCAATACAATTTCTTAGTAGTTTTAACTATAACACATTAAAATACTAGTGTAGTACAAATCAATTTTTAATTAAAAAAGTAAATAAAAAGCAGTCCAACAAACACTATCATGATGCATAAAAACACAAACAAACAAATAAATACATAAAACAATTTCATTATGTATTTATTATTTATTTGCTATTCTCAAAACATAACGGCAGTATTTGTTGTCATCATTTATCAATTCTATATAATATACATTTATATAATATCATTATAATCAGTTATTTAAGGTAAAGATTGCATTACTGCTTCATTCTCTTTAGGCAAAACGTTAGGTCCTTTTTTTATATAATTTTTAAGAGCGATACATTATTCTTCATATTTGTTTTATTTAATTTTTTTAATTATTTTGTGGTTACACATGGCTGCAAAATTTGCACATTATAAGTTGATCTAGGACTCTAGGACAGACCACCCGCCACTAGCATGCAGAACGATCTGTCCAAGACCGGCACAAGTCCAGCAGAAACCGATTAGTGTCGGGCAGAGGACAGGGTCCCCGAAACCAGCGAACAGACACACTACAGAAGGGTTGGCTTACTTTGATGAAGTCCAGACAGGTTTATCTGAAACCCTGGTGGTGAGAAGAACAACGGACACACGGTTTGAACACCTTCATTTGCAGCATCTGTTCAAGTAGTCCAATGCTAATTCTGTCATAATCTGCTCTTCATAGCAATGAAGTCTCAATAAAACCTTAAAATCCAAGAAAACCACCTGACAGATCTCACACTGAGCATCTGAAGCTCACTCAAACCAAACCTTTGTGCCGGGATGTGCATCAGTGAACCGGTAATCATGGGAAATGTGTGTACATGCAGAGGAGGTTCACACACAACAGCAACCGGAAACCAGCAGAACGTAAAACAAAGGAAAACACCAGACTAAGAGAGAAATGAAGGAGAGAAAATCAACATGAAACAGTTCAGAGAGGGAATATAAACAGCAGTTGTTTCTGGGGAAAACAATTTCACAGGGTCTCACCGTGGTCCGGCATCAGGGAGGATTGTGGGTAAGAAGAGGCGAGAGATAAAGGGAGAGAAATATCATGAGGGGAAATATTGAGTTTCATTGCTTAAATACATAGATTTAAAAGAATCCGTCCAGCCGGAGTTTGGGAACTTCAGAATGCAAAAATAAAGCCTGGAAAAAGATTCATGTTAGGTTATTTCAGGACAAAAAAAAAGGAAATCTAAAACAATTTTCACTCAGAAATTGCTAGCAAACTTCACACGTTACACATTCGAATGAAACATAATATTTCAAAGTAGAAAGACAGAAATAGTATTTTCTCTTAAAACATACTCCAATAATCTTATTCACACCTTAGAAAAATATTTGTTATGACAATAAGGAAGTTTTGCAACACAAAGCTATAATGAAGATGATTCAATAATATTACCATGTATAAAAACTCAAATAAATAAGGATAAAAGAAATTGTACTTCTTGTAGTTCTTATTACTGTACATTAGTGTAAATAACTTGCACTATTGTGTATTTATTCATTAATTACATAATGATAGTATTTGTAATCATCATAATGAGATTGTTTGCATCAATGTAATAAGATGGCTTAATTTCCTTAAGACAAACCTATATATTTATACAATGTTCATGTCCAAACCGTTCAATGTAAAGTCAGTAACTACCTGAATCACTCTGAAACCTCCTGCATGAGCTGATGTCTGAAAATCAAAATGAACTGCATCAGTTTGGACAGAATACCCAGTTTAGAGGCAACTGAGGTTGGCCTAGCGAATTTTAGAGCAAAACTAACCCATAACAGATTACAGTCTATGGCAGCATCTCATAGAGGAACTGAAACATCTTCAATATCAAGTCAAACAAAACAACAATTGTAATGATCTTGGTGATGACTTTATGATAAACACAATTCATGCACATTGGTGTCCTTGTTCAAACCTGCAACCTTTCAGTTACCAGACCATATCTTTAACCACCACACCAAGTCCAAAATAAACCATTCAAAGCTAAAATTAGTACTAACTCATTAGAGCTGTTTGTTTTCCACACAGATCCACATTTGATGTTAAATACCGCAAAATGCCACATTCATGCTGGTTAATGTCCTAAACTAACCCACATTCTACCTTAAATGCAAAGTTTTGGTAGATGGTCTATTCTAAACGACATATTCAATCATTCATATTCAATCATGAATATATGATGTGGCAATTGGAGTCATAAAACTACCCAAATTACAATTGTAAAAACAGTTATGCAGTAGTTTATGTAAAGGTTTTTCAAACTGGGGGCCACAAGATGCTAGTGGGAAAGTTTAGAGAGAAATAGTGTAAAACATGCAATAATAATAATAACTAATTAAAATGAAATGAAAGAAAAAAACTATCATTTTAGATAGTGAAGTAGGCTACGATATGGGGAAAACACAAAATAATGTAACTTAATAGAAAATAAATATTTTAGACACTTATAAAAAAAAAAATCACAGTATAAATTGTGTTTTTACACAAGAAACTATATAACGCGAGTATGATCATATTTTGGGTCCGTGGCATCTAAAAGATTGAGAACCGCTGGTTTATGATAGATAAGCTGTCAGTGATCTTACCATTTAACAGTGTAATTTTCTTTATGAAATCATTCTTATTTCTGTGGTCCACAAATAATTCAAATAACATCTTAATATTTCCATTTAGTAAGAAACGACTCTTCAATTCCCCAAAAACACTCGCATTTATCTGAAGTTCATTTTAGCATCGTATCGTTAGCCAGTTAACGTTAGCCATCCAGCTAAAAATGTCAACAAACTCCAATGACAGTCAGTAAACGAACAATGACAGTAAGCGAATTAATATAATACTAACAACGATATGGACTTACAACATATTAATCTATACATGGGTTACGTAGTCAACTGTAATTATCACGTTGAGAAAATGAAATATTCACGGGCCTGTCGGTGTTTGACTAAAGCAGTTAGCCGTGCGGCTAACAGGACGCTAAAATTAGAATTAAAACTACTAGTATAAAGCAACTAAAAAGAGGTTACTACTTTAAAACATGAAATGCAGTTCTTGTAAATGCAAATTGAGATCGATAGCTTAGCTAAAGCTACACGGCTAGTAATGCAGCGTGATCGAGTCTCATCTGATGCGAGTAAACGGTCATTGGCTCTCATTGTAGGATGGATGGATGGATGTGCGCGGCTCGGCTGGTTTCTGACCTTGCATGCTGCTCATGGTGCCGATGTGTTGGCTCTGGGTCTGGTGGTGCTGTGCGCTGGAGGCTGATGCTGCTGGGGTACTGCTGGGGCTGGACGTCGCCATTTGGGTTTGACTTCCAGCAGCCAGCGCTAGGCTGCAATGCAGAGAGACGGACAGCAGAGAAACCTGTATATACATACAGTACTGTACTGCACTGCACAGCTCGCTATCGCGCTCTCTCTCTTTTCAATTCAGTTAAGCTTTATTAACACGACTGTGTAACACAATGTTGCCAAATCATTAACATGTAGGATATATAAATAATAAAAAGAAACAATAGAAAAAAAACAGATAATAAATAAAATTATCTAAATAGATGAAAAGATAAAGTGACTCAGTTTAGAGTTAATCATGTTAATCAACACCTTACATTGTGAATGGCTAACACAAATTTTGCAGCTAGTGCAGCTGTGTTGCCATCTTCTCAAAGTATGAAGGGCATTTTCTCAGTATCACTAAGTTCAGTAAATGATGGAATCAGTGCTTCAAATCTGGGGAGAAATGTTTCCCTCACACTGTGATGT